AATACCAGCACATAATAAGTATACACTCACATTAGCTCTGTTGGAATTGGTTTTGCTAATTTTAAGGATTACAAAAGGTTAAAAATCAGAGTATCTTGTCAAAAAAATAAAAATAAATTTACCTAGAAGAGGACATAAAGCACAGCTGCTGGAAAGAAGTATCTTTAAGAAGTAGCATTTCTTTCTTTGTATTAAAGACTTTCACATAGTTACCCACCTAGCTAGTGATTTGTGAACGCTGACTCTATGGATGACTCTATCACTGAGGTAGAAAAGGTAAGATATCTACCTCACAATTAATGATCTTTCATGTAAATAAAAGCAATTATATAATAATGAAATGCATGGACCTTATGGACCCATAAAGAAAAACATATAGTATCTGAGATACTCAGAAAGCTCAGTAAATTTAAGTCAAGTCCAAGCAGATAGGATTGGGAATCTTACTCCTGGAAAATATATAGTCAATTAATAAAGAAAAATCAGGCCAACAAAATAGTTCAACAGATGAAGGCATTTGTTGCACAATCTGACAACCAACGTTCCATCCCAGACTCACATGGTGAAAGCACAGAAATGACTCCTGAAGGCTATCTTCTGACCCACAGAAACAGACTGATACCTTTGTGGGAAAGGTCAACCCATCAAGGTACAGAGAACAAGTGACTCTGGAGCCCAGTCCCAACTGACACATCTACAACACAACCTTTGCACCTAAGGCTCTGGGATCATAGTGTAAGGGAGCGGAAAGACTGTAAGGGCCAAAGGAACAAGAAGTTAGCTGCGACATTGCAGCTCCTAGAAATGTCAGAGAAGCTACACCCAGTAAGCCTCACCTACATGTTTGCCTAAACAAGACCTGAACAAGGATGACACTATCAGGCATGCTAACAAAAGGTAGAAATCTCATTGTGCTATCAGTCCTAGACAACCCTAGACAAAAAATACCACAGACACACAAGCAGTATGGACAATAGAAGAAATAATCCTCTCTTAAAAAAAAAGCCCGCAATTTGGTTATCCGATACCAAGTGGTCAGTCCTGAAATCATATACAACAAGTAACATTATTGACTGAGCAGATTGTATACCACACTTAGGAATATATATATATTCATGTACATATACATATACTTATGGGAAGGTTGGAGGGAGAAAAGGGAAGGGAACAAAGAGATATTTTAATTTCAGAACACAAAAGTATTTTTTAAATAAGTGTTAAAAAGAGAGAAATACATCTTATCTTTATATACAACATATAACTAGACATTAAAATTAATCAAAAGCCATTATTTTTAAAGCTTCAGAACATAGGTGATACATTAAATTTAATGGAATATATATAATATATTTATATAATTTATTATATAATTGTAAATATAATATTATAATTTGATTTTATATAACATTATATAATATTTTATATTACATATTATATACATTATATGATATAATTTTATATTATAATATTATATTATATATTGTTGTAAATATAATTTTATATAATTCATATGATAAATAAATTAATGGAATATATGTAAAGAATATAGAAATAAGTATTATCAAAAGACATAGGCAGGCATCCTGTTCACTGATAGGAAGACAAGATAGCTAACACACAAATTCCCTTAAAGTCAATGAAATTCTTTTCATCTTTTTGTGGAATTTGACAAACTGGTAATACTAAACTTAACATGGAAGAATAGAGGGCCAAGAAGTGTATAAGCAATTTCACCTCTCAAGACATATTACAAAGTTACACTGATTATGAGGACATGATTGTTGTACAGGTACAGACAAGATGGAATGAACAAAATAAAAACCTAGAGATACATACATCTGTGAAAATTTGGGATGTGACCCATAGCATTAATCGGTAGAAGGATTCACTAAACACACAGTTAATTGGCTACAAAGAACAAAAGTAAAATTAGATCCCTGGCTCACAGCATAAATAAAAAGGGACTTTTGATGGATTAAAGAAAGAAAATTCTCTTACACAGGATGAAAAGTTTTACTTAAAATCATATACCTTAAATAAGGCTTTTTGCATTAAAAATGTTACAATAGAAGATACTACAAGGTAAAAAGATAAACACCAACTCAAAAACAGTATTAATAACACATGTAGCAAACAAAAGATTAGTATCCAGAATACAAATCTATCACTAGGGAGGAAAGGAACAATGTATCTTATACACTGACCTTATAAGAAAGGGGACTGTTTGGTCCCTCCCAACACCCCAAACATTAAGATTTTAGCTAGGGTTGATGATCACTATACCCAACTAGTTTAGCACAGGTCTTGGACTTTTATTAATTAGTAAAAAATATAAAAATAAATGTGTTAATTCTGTCTGCAAAACTGGACAAAAGAAGTCTGTGCTTATACTCCTTGCCCTCTCCCACCGAAACACAAATACCCAGCTCTATTCCCACATAGTTAAGCCCAGGTGTCCTGGTTTGCTTTCTGTTACAATGACAAACACAACTAAAAGCAACTTAGCAAGAAAAGGGCTCCTTTTAGTGCAAGGGTAACCTTACATCATCAAGAGAGGCCAAGGAAGAAACTACAGGCAGGAACTTGAAGCAGAAACGAATGGAGGAAGGCTGCTCACTGGCTTGCTCCCTTTCACTTGGTCAGTTACCTTTCATACACACCCCAGATTCACCTTCCTAGGGAAAATATGGCCCACAGTTGGATAGGCCCAGCTATATCAGAAAATAATTAAAAATATGCCTCACAAACATAAATGGAAGCCAACCTGATCTAGTCCATTTTTCAATTGAGGTTTTTCTCTTACAAGGTAACTCCATGTTTCTTTCGAAGCTAACTATGGCACAGTCTGGAGAACAATAAAGACATGCTGAGGCATGCCTCTGTCCTGTTAACAGGTTGTTTACATGACTCCAGGATTTTTTTAACCCCATCAAATGCTCCCAAAAAGCCATGTGTTGAGGGTGTGGTCCCCAGTCTGTGGCACTACTGAGAGATGGTGCAGCCTTGAGGAGGTAGTGCCCTAGAGAACTTCAGCCATTGGATGCGTGACTTTGAAGGACCCCAGCCCGTCCTATCTCTCTTTTTGTTTCCTTGTCACCAGGAAGTGAGTAACCTCCTCTGCCACATCTCCCAACATGGTTTAAGCCTTATCCAAACAACAATGAATTGAAGCCTCTTAAAATTACAAACCAAAATAATCCTGGTCCTTCTCATGAGCTGACTTATCGCAGGTGTTTGTTGTACCATGGGGAAAAAAATAAAAAAATAAAAAAGCACAGTTTAATTTCTATAACTTACAACAAAGAATTTGATGAAGTTATTTAATTAAGTCCTGAGCAAAAATTAGTCAAGGAAAGGACAGTAGTCATTTCTGATAAGCCTTTAAATAAATAAATTAGCACATAAGTAATAGGGCCATAAAATAACAATCTGAAATCCTAAAATGAACATAATTAACCTAAATAAATCCTAACAACCCATTTTAGTACATGCCATTTAATTAAAAGCAGACACACACCAAAAGAGAGATCTAATGATTCAAACAGCAGTATATGTGTTCCACAAACATATATAAGCTTATCTATTCTGATTGCTAAATCTTGATAATTTAGAAAAGCTATGCCAGCCATATGAACAAAGATGTCACTCTCGTAGGATGCTGGAAACAAGCTGGGCCTGGCTATGCAGGGCTGTGGCCCTGGCTGATCACAAGGCTGAGGCAAGAGGACCACAAGCCCAAAGCCCACTCAGGCTACAGGCTAAATTTGAGACCAGCCTTGACAAGTGATAAAACCCTGTCTCAAAAAACAGGAAAAGAAAAAGAGCTGAGTTACAGCTTAGTGATAGAGAGCAGAGTACTTATCAATCATGTACAAGGCCCTACGTTCAATGACCAGTACCAAAATACAAAAGTATTAACAAACACACATTCTCTCTCTCTCTTTCACACACACACACACACACACACACACACACACACACACACTCATGCAAAACAAAAAACAAAAAAACCTAATTCTTTACTACATCAAGACCACTCCTTCTACTGTGGAAAGTGATGAGTCCATTTACTTTTAACTAATATGTGATAAAATATCAGAGTACTCCTCACCCTTTGGTTACCAAATTCCTTAAAATTCCTTATAACACACTAACAGCAAAATTCTTAATGAGAATGAGTGAATTATTTCATCAATGTCTCCACCAAGTCCCTTAGTATTTTCACCAATATAATTTACAAAAAATAAAAATAAAAAATTTGCCCCCACTGGATAATAGAACAATCCAAATCAACACAACTGCTGTTGAGAGCTTTTATAGACTTCTATAGAGATAAAAGCAGATATGGAGGTATATAAATGAGCAAGAAGATAGGACATCCCTCCAGAAAAGCCACCAGAATTGGGAAAGTCAGGACCAAGAGGGAGCAAAGTCTGGCTTGACACTCACCACAAACTGCACCCTCTAGGCACTTCCATAATTAAAAAGGTATCAGAACTCCAAGGGTAAGGCAGTAAAGGCTGGGTCACAGAGCACTCCGGCTCTTCAAAGGTACTTCTAAGACTAGTACCAAAGAAGTCATTTTTTTTTTCTTACTAGGTGAAAAGTACAAAACAAAGCTTTAATCCAAAAATGACTTCAAAACCTTAGTGAATGACTTCAAAACCTTAGTGAAACACCGAACTTTACAAACCTTCAATTCTATGTCACATAGATTTCATCATCTAAAATGAGATTCATGATCTTCCTCTGGAACTAAAGAAGCAATCTCTCATTACCATTTCAACATGATTTCAGTACTGACTTCTTTCCACTACATTTCTTGCCTTGGTTCAAAGGGCAGAAAATATATAAATAATAATCATCTCACATTCCAAACACTGCAAGAGGAGAACTAGCTAGGGCTCCCTTCAAGGCCAGCAATTCCCAAGGGCCATTGGTGCCATGCTATGTACAGAAAGAAGAGTACAGGAGTGAACCTTTGCACAGGCTACTCTTACCAGCATGTCAGTGGCACTAAGGTAGTGCTTGCTGGCCATGCACTGTTCCAGCTTCTGAGGCACTTGCTTGATATTCTCAATTTCATCCAGCAGGTTCAGGACATGCTTATGTTCAATTCCTTCAATCCATAGTTTACGAAGTTCATCCCGTTTGCAATGCAACAGCATCTTGCAGGAAAGTAGATTCTCTTTTACCTATAATAAAACATACTTGGTCATCAGTCAGCTCCAAGTTTTATCTGACATGGTTAACATTCCTCACAGGTCCTGTTGTGTATAACAGTTCCTAATTCCCTCCCACTTACTCTCCCTGGTTGGTCCCCTTGCAAAATTCTAATCCTGATTTTGGTACTGAGTCACTTGCATGCATCACTCTCTCTCTGTGTTTCAAATTTTTCTGCCATGAAATGAGAAAACTACTTCTAGCATACCTTTGAGTGAATCTAGAAGTAACTACAGAGGATACTAGGCACTCTGAAAATATGAAGGGCCATATAAATGTGACTCCACCTAAACAGGAGAATGATCAGTATGAGAGTCCAGTGCTAGTATTCCATCCCCAATGTCCCTTGCAGCTGAAGGCCACTTGGCCAATGCTTACAGCTCTGGAATACCAGCCAGAGTTTACAAACAAGGAACTCAGTGTTTTTCCCAAATGACCACAATAAAATTAAGCCCAACACTGAAAAAGAAGTAAACACATGCAGAGATAATCTCAAAGAGACAGATATTTTTTGTTTCCATTTAAGGCATCAGTTAGTAAATTTGGTATTAAGTAGACAATCTAACTGCCGCATAGGCAAAACATGATTAAATAAAGGTAGAGAAGTTTGGGGATAAAATGGATTAGGGACATGTACAGTAATCACAATTACACCTATATTCTACCTTTAAAATGATCAATGTTTAAAACATAGATAAGGATGGTATTAAAAAAAAAAAAAAAAAAAGGATAGGGTCTCATATAGCTCAGGCTGGCTCTAACTTACTGGCCTTGACCTCGTGCTAGTACTGCCTCCTTCTCCCAAGTATTATGGCACAAGAATGTGCTGCCACATTTGGGGTTTGTTGTTGTTGTTGTTGTTTTGGTTTTTTGGGGTTTTTTGTTTTGGTGGGAAGATTTAAATTTATTATCATCTCCAATTCACATAACTGCTTTCAAACACTGTTGACAGTCCTAGCATCTGTTTCCATTTGGAGCTCAACATTTGTTTAGTTTTGTGTCTATTTCTCCTGAGGTGACGGCAACTCTGGTACAGCACTTGGTGCACTCTGATAACCATGTACACCTATGTAATCCAAACTGTCAACAGCGTGAGGCATGCCCATCACCCTAGAGAGTCTGTGTGTCTGTTTCTCCTGGAAGCCGGTATGCCTCTTCAGTGAGAATATTTTGAGGGTGATCATACTATTGACACTGTAGTTCTGATAATTGTAAAATGAAATCTCAGTATTTCTCTAACAAGCACTGAAATGAAGACAGACTGCTAAAGCTGAAAGTTTATTGAGAAAACAACTAATCTGATTTTATAATTTGATAATATCTACATCAGTTTTCTATATCTCTCTCAGGTACAGAAAGGAGTCGTGATAAGAGAAACCTGTGATGTCCTTTTAGAAGCATGGTAGCATGACTCCATGGAGGGGGTAGAGAAAAATCTGACAAAGATGGTTGTAGTTTTCCCCACTGCTTCTTACAATTCCACCATGGAAAAAGCAGAGAGTCTATAAACACTGACATCAAGAAAAGAAGAACAGAAAAGGAAAGAGCAAACAGAAAATCACAGTACAATTCTAGAAGTTGGCCAGAAGGTGGATGGTGGGAGTTAGCAGATCAAGAAGTCTGAGCACCTCAGCCTGGAGTGGGTTTGGCTGCAGAGAAAAGCAGCAGCAAAACATGGAGAGCCTAAGTAAAGAATTCAGACTCCCCACAGGGGTAGTTTGAAGACCAGCAGACCACCAAGCAACATGGACAAGTAAGACCTACTGATAGCACTAGCCAGAGCTGGACAATTAGAAAGGGTATGGATCAAGGAATGGTAGGGATGGCTGAAGGCAGGTTGAGAGTACCAAAGAAAACAAGAGGATACAATGAAAGAGGAGCCTATGAAGCAGCATGATCCTTCAGGCCTCTGGGCTCTACACATTGTCAATGATTCAGCTCCAGTAACATTGGCAGCTTCCCTCTGAGCATCAACCTAAAAAAGCTAGGGTTCTCTCTATGGAAAACTGACCTAGTTCAAATTTAAAGGCATCTGAGTTTTCACTGAAGAAACTGAGTCTCATTCATCACAGATAACAGCCCCTCAATTTGCTCTAAGCTCCCAACAAATCCCTTGCATATAAATGAAAGCCAAGGATCACCAGAGAGACAAAGAAAGTCGATAGAAAGGACTAACAACTCCAGTCCTTTGGGTATGAACATAAGGAGACACTACACATGCTACTACACTGCATCATGTAAGCAGTGCTTACATGATGATTTGTTTATATGTACATATAATAACAATGGCTAAAGAAGAAATGCCTGCTGTGATTTTAGAAGGGGAATGTCAGTGATGGCAGTGGTAGAAGGGAGAATGTGGGAGAACTGATGTAATTATATTTTAATTAAATATTTAAAAAATAAAAAGATTGACAAGTATCATAACAAAAAAAGGGACTGGTAAAAGAGAAACTAAACAGAAAACAGGATTTCTTAAAAACTATAGTTAATTTACTTAGGGAAAAATAAGAAAAGCTATTACACCAAATAAACAAAACAACATGTCAATTTTAGAAAATGAAAAACTCTTCAAAGTTTTTAAAATTGTATAAAATTGAGATAACAAATAAGACACTCCAAGTGTGTGTGTGTGTGTGTGTGTGTGTGTGTGCAAATGTGCACCAGATTTTTTTAAAAATTAGAAGACTGAACTGGAGTTCAATAATTAACAAACAGAAATTCTAAAGGAGGGGAAATTTATTTTTACAATACAGCAGAGAAAAAACATTAATAAAATTTCCCAGAGTATTAATTCTCGGACAGAAAAAGCGCAGGAAGTGATGAAGACAACAGAATGAGAAGAGACTCTGTGTCCAGAAGAGCAAATGTTCAGTAGCAATCTATCTTAGAGGAAGAAGAAAGGGATTAACACAAGAAAGGGAAGGGGACAGGGAAGGAAGAGGAAAAAATAAGAGCTAGAAAATGAGAATACAGTAATACAGAGACAGACGACAGCAAAGAGGGGATTGTAAAGAATGAAAATCCAAAAGTTTCGAAAGGAAACAGAAGGTCTTGTATAAAAGTTGGTAAATTAGGCCCCAACTAAAGCTTCTATGACAAAGGAACATTATCTCTTCATGATTCTGAGAAAAAATTATTTCCCAGGAAAGCTATCAAATAAGTATGAAGAAAGAATAAAGACATTTTCAGCCACGCAAGCTCTCACAAAGTAAACACTGCATGAAGAGAATGGGCAAACTTCTGAGAAATGCTGTTGCATCATTACAAGAACACAGATTAACGAGCAAGGTTGGGATTCTGACACAGAAGTCTACAGGGCTATGATCACCCTAGGGAGAACAGTGGCACAGAAGACAAAACCATTCAATGACTCAGATGTAAATATTTGCATAATTACAATAAAGTGGCACAGATAGCTTAAACAAAACAAGAATAGCTATCATGTTTAGAGGAAGGAGGAAAACGTGGTGGTCAGGAAAGGAAAGGACTAAATCACCCTCCCTATACAGCAGGAAGTCAACACACAATTTCTGAAACAGGAAACTCAAGAACAGTATGAGCACACTATCAGACATGGAAATATCTAGTAGGAGGACTCCAGCAGTACAAGTTGAAGCCTTTGCAAGGCTGGATTTGGGACCTGGTGAGAATGAGGTGAGAGGGAAGCCTTGTTTTTAATCATTGTTTCTGGTTTTCTTTGACCTAAATATCTCTCAAAGTTATTCTTAGATTCCCTTGTAGTTCTTGATCTAAGTAGTTGCTACTAAACTAATTCCTTTTTAAAAAAATCTGTCTAATATTCTCCTATGACCTTAATTTTACAGTTCTAGTTTTTCCTGCCATGTTTAAATGGTTACCATGGAAGTAAGTAAAAATAAATTTTATCAGAACACCCAACCAGGCTCTTTATCGAGGGTGAGGGAATAAAATTAGAAAGTGTCAGTAAAGCTTGGCAAATTCTTGTGTGATGGGAAAAGACCATTATGGAATTTCATGCTAGCACATACACATACAGTCTGATCAATTCCTACTTTTGCTCATTACATAGAAACTAAAATAAAAATCAGGCAGAATGGCAGGAAGACACACAAATTGTACATTAAATGGACATCACCAAGATTATTCCTTAAACTGAACTAAGAAGGTAGAGACATAAGAAACTTAAAGAAAGTCTTAGACTTTTTGATTAAAAAAAATCATGAAAAATGGGAAATGGGGTCAGACAACAACAACAAAAAAAAAAAAACTTGGAAGAATATCAAAACTGTACACTGAGAACTGAGAAAAGAAGGAAGCTGTAATAAAGACATGTGTATGAGTGCCACAACAGATAAAACTAGCCCAGTGACAGACTTTATGTCGGTACTTGTATACAGCTGGATGTGGATGAGAACCTACTATAATAAGCAGGCCACACGTGGCAGTGCACACTGTGTAACCTAAGCATTAGGAAAGCTGAAGCAGGAGATGCCTATGTTTGAGGCCAGCCTGGACTACAACAGGAATTTCTGAAATTAACCTGGGCTACATAGCAGGAATGAATTCTCTGACACAATAGTAATAAATTCAAGTATACAACCCTAAATTTACTGGCCTATACTATCAATAAGCATGCATGTTACTGCATGAAAATTATACCTCAATCAAGACGAAGAATAAACTTTATAGGAAATAATATAAAGTCAGGGTAGGGGGTATGTCTTTAATCCCAGCATTCAGGTAGAGGTAGAGGTAGGCAGATCTGGGTAAATTCAGATCTACATAGTAAATTCAAGGCCAGCCTGATCTACATAGTGAGTTCTAGGATAGCCATGGCTACATAAAGCCTATAACAAACAAAAGTAATAATAATAATAACAAAACAACAATAAATGAAAGAAAAAGAAAAGAATATGGAGGTTCCTGGTTAAGATAGATAAAGGCATTCACATAGTTTCCAACTCACAATGACATAAAAGTGGAAAATATT